ACAACATCATCCTTGTGATCATCATAATGCTGGCGAGACGACGAGTGTAGAAAATTAGCCTCGGGCTCCTCCAAATCAAAACCATATGGATATGGTAGATCTACTCCTCTGGCTCTGGCATCTGTTATGGATACCGTTAGGATAAAAATTGCTGAAAGGCTCAGAGCAACGGGGAACATCATCCTTATTTGTCTTCCTGCTGCAGTACTGAACTTAAAGCTATGCTGGGTGCTTTTATAGATTCATAGACTATCCAATTATTAGAGCATGGGCCGGGCGGAGCTGAACTAAACTACCTTTCCTTCCCATGGAGATGCTGGAAAGAGAGAGGGGGTGGAGAAAAAAAAGGAGAAATCCTCAAGTATGAAAAAGAACTCGTTTTGTTACTCCAATAAACCCATCACAGTGTGAAGGTCTGTCTCAAGAGAAAGAGCTCATATCTGCCACTCTTGAACATCCTGCTCCCTCACATACGGAAAAAGTAATTGTAGTGAATAGAGACACATGTCGTTCAGACACTCCATTGTATAATAATCGACTGTAGTACTATTAAGACTTACTTTTTAAACTCATAATTGTGTGGGGGGGCACTGATGAGTTGCTTTGTTGAATAATTAAATAAAATACCATATTATATAGCTAAAAAAATTTGTGGGAATTTTATTTTGCGATTTGTGCTAATAGAGCAAATTTTAATGTATGCGGAATTTTATTTTGCTGGTGTAGGTGTGAACTGGTGATGCACCCATTATTTGTAATGCTTTGCGGAATTAAATTGTGTGTTTTTATGATGAACAGCAATCAGCAAAGTTAAATTCCAGCAAATATTTCCAGCTATACGGTAATGCTGGACATCTGCTCTTAAAGGCACTATATACCAGGAAACTCTACTGCAGGCAATCTGTGGTTACTTTGATTTTATTAGCAATGTGTTACTCAGAATAGAACAGCTTTGACTATTCTAAAGGCTCTCATACATGGGGCAAAATTGTTGCTTGAAACTTTGATCTTTGTTGCCTCAAGTTGACTACTACTCAACTTGAGGCAACAAGATTAAAGTAAGCACAAAGTCGCATGCAACAATGTCGCCCCGTGTTGCCTTAAGCAGCAGTGTTGCCTGAAAATAAACAATAGCACCTGGAGATGAACAATAGCATTGCTTGATGTTAACCTGGCTACACTACAATACACTCCAGCCAAATTTTTATCTGTAGTACTAGTAATGCTTATTTTTTACTCATAATTGTGTGTGGCAACAGTTACCACTATTACCTATTGAATAACTAATGCTGCCTTATACTGGACATCTGTTCCTAATGGCTACACTACAGCACACTCCAGCCTATACTTGTTTTATTACGTTGTACATGCACATGTATGATGGGGTGCGTCTTATTATCATAAAGATGACCCAAGCTCCTTTAGATTTGCTGACAACATGTCACTTTATCCTCAGGTATATCCTACCATACTTACTGTATTGTATATGTACACTTTCTTCTTAACACTCATTTATTATGGAGAGGTACATTTAACTGTATTATTTTAATTAGTTACATATAGCTGGAAGAAGGCCAGCTATCAAGATTTACCCGATCATGAAAACTTCCGTCAATTACACCAAGCACCAGTTGAAGATGCACAGGTATGTGTAAATACATGTAGGTTTGTGTGCTATCATTGTAATACTGATTGGTGGTTTACTTGATCGTACTACATGTTTAAAACTTAGCATTGGTTACATAGTGATTTGTATGTAGGATATTCTACAGAACAGGTTCCCTGTGCCATAATGCCACGGTATGTGGTAACTGAGCATATGGGCAGTCAGGCTAGGTTTCTCCTCTCTAAAGTAAACCCGTCACAGACTCATAACAACATGTATGGCTGGGGTCAGGTATGTTGTTTACTCTGTGCTTGAGCATGTTACATGTTGCATTTAGGATGGAAGTGGTGCTGCTCCTGTTTTAACTGATGATGTTAGTTTACAAGTTTTTATGGAACATTTGAAAAAGCTAGCCGTGTCTAGCTCATCTTGATACCATTCCCTCGTGCTTGATTAGTACTGACTCCTGTTGTTTTTGACCATAATATTTCAATTATTTTAATAATTATACTTTGTATGGTAATTATGGTAATTTTGTTGTGTCTGACTGATTAATTGTGAGACTAATAATGTTATTTGTGACTAGACCATTAGGTCTTTCTACCTTGATCAATGTATATTTAAATACTCTTTCCTAAGAGCTAATTTCTTTAATGACAGCACATATGTGGGAATAATCCCACTTTTAGTTTTATAAAAACTTTCAGTTTTAAAAAGATATTAATGAAATGGATATGTCTACTATCTAGACTTATGTAAAATGAGAGAAAAAAGCAATACATAGGTCTACTATTTAGACATCTGTAAAGCTAATAAAACTAAATAACAAAATGTTTTCAGTTTACTTAAAAATCAGAGCCAGCTTCTTCTGGTTCAACTTCTCCAACTGCTCAATGTAGTCACTCAGACTATGACCTGCAGCTTTTGGCAAGTAAAATTCCTCCATTGGTTTGTATAGACCAGCCCATGGGCCT